GCCAACTTGCGCGACGCCATCGATCGTGTTCGCGCGATCGCGTCTCTTACTCTCGTTGCAATGGAGTCCGCGACGAATAGCGCCGGGAGTGGACGTTGTGTCCAATCAAGTTAGTAATCGCGCCGATCCGACACTCGTGCGTCGACGATCCACCGAGACGCGTATCTCGCGAGAAGCCGGGAATCTGCCGTATCGTCGCCGTCGCGCCGCCGTATCCTCGCGCGACGCGAATACACCGGGCCGCGATTTCAGTTCGTGTCTCCTCGCGAGTGTAGAATTTCACGCGTGACGCGCGGCAAGAGAGACGTTGACGCCCGCATTCGGTCGCCTTTCTCGGGGAAACGCGCGAGGTGAGCCCCGCGGTCCTTTTCGCCGAAACGTTCCCGTCAACTTGCGCGACGCCATCGATCGCGTTCGCGCGATCGCGTCTCTTGCTCTCGTTGCAATGGGGTCTACGACGAATAGCGCCGGGAGTGACGCGATCGCGAGTGTTGTGTTGTGTCGTGCCAGTGCCAATCTGAGAGGAAGCGGCGGCCTGGGAGAGGCATCGGGCGTCATCGCAGTAAGCCTCAGGTGAATATAATTGTCCATACATTATTCTCATGTTAACTCCATTTCGCAGATTGCTTTCGCTCTCCTTTTCGTTCATTCGCCCCCGTTCGAACGACTCGCACGGGGCGTTTTCCAGCAAGGACACAATGTGATACAGCGTAAAGGCCTTCACACATAAAATTTCGTAAGGACGTAAAACGTAAGCGTAAGAAAATCAACAGATTGTATTTGCTTGCGTTATTGCCTTACGTTCTCGACTGTGATTGATCGATTTTCTTACACTTACGTTTTACGTCCTTACGGAATTTTATGTGTAAAGGCCTTAACACTGTGCCCTTGGCAAAAAACGCCCACGAGTACCGGCCGAAACAATTGCGCGTACGAAGTAGCAAAGGATTTTTTTGCCTGTTGAACGAAAATTTACGTTCGCGGAAGATTTTTTTTCGGAAATTATACAGTCCTTATTCACGGTAGTTGAAATGTACCGCGAATAATGGTATTCGCGTGTATTTCGTGAAAAAGTATTAGGCCTTTTTTCTTAATGTTGCGTCCTTCAAGTATACTAATTTGAATCTTCCATTTGTGCGTTGCAGGACGATGAGGCGTCGCAGTTTTACTGCTGTGGGGTGAGTGAGAAGTAAAGCTTATCATATAAATCGAGGTAATGAATCTATGATGGCTATACAAAATTCTCAGGGAATAAACGAAATCCAATTTTCTTCGCGGTAAAACTTATATTTTGGTAAACATTTTATAGAATTAAAGTAAAATTTTTTAAATTAAAAATGATCTACTATTTGATATTTAATAAATAAATAATGTGAACACCTGGGAAAAATATACTGCTTTATCAATATCATTATTAATAAAACAAACTGTGCATCTCCGATTGTACGCAGATATATTAAATATTGAGACCGTTATACATTACAAATGTATAAAATATCATAGATTCATTACTTTGAATGAGAAAAATATCTTGGCCTACCTAATCGGACAATTCAATTGCATATTAACAAACTTATATGTTTGTTCGATGAAACTTTCACCGCACTGACAAAAGAATTATTTTAAACAAAGTAAATAGATTTACTTAAAATTATTTTTTTACTAAAGTAAATATTTATTCTATTTAAATAAAGATATAAAATTTCAAGTAAGTTTGTGTATTACATTAAGTAAATTAATTTATATCATTACATTTTCTACATTCAACTAAAGATTGAGATAGAGAATAATTAAGATAGAGGAGAGATAGAGAAAAGTTAAATGAAATCATTGTTTTTTTCAAATAAGAAATCCAATTTTCTTCGCTGTAAAACTTCTTTTTGGTAAACATTTGATAGAATCGAAGTAAAATTTTTTTAATTAAAAATTATCTACTATTTCATATTTAATAAATACTTAAATTAAAGATATGTATGTTTTAATTTGTTTATAATTTTTTAAATGAATAATTTTCTTGAGTAAAGTAATATTTTTTTAGATTAAGATATTTTTTTGTCAGTGCAGTAACTGCAAGTTTATTAGATATATTTCATCGAATATATCCACAATTTAATCGGAAAACTTAATTAGGAAAAATAATTAATTTCTCATCGGAAGCACAATTATCAATTTAACCGATAGAAATTTTTCTCAGTATTTTATTTATTTCTCAGTATATTGAAATGCATAGACTTGAATCAGATAGACATTGAATCCTGAAGATCATGCATTTATTGGTCGATTTATTGCTCGTCTATGGCACGCCGGTTTCTTATTTAATATTGATCATAAAAATTTTGTATTTATAAATATAAACGGAAGAGAGACAGAAATAATCTTCTTATCGCTTGACATATTCCAAATTTATTTAACAAAAGAATTTTATGAATATTAATTACATTTATCTTAGCATACGTTTATTTTATTGTACTGTTTTACGGCTCATCTATACCCATTATGTGTTTATGTTCGATTTAATATTACTTACAAAATAATATAATATGAGATTGAATAAACATCGTGAAACCGAGGATTCTTCTATTTTTATACTAAATGAACTTGTGAGAAATAGAAATGCGTCAAGAATATTTTTGTCTCGGTAACACAAATTTTTTCTGAGGGTGCACCCATAGAATGATTTTCCGGATTCAATGTATTGCTTGGTAATATTGCATGGTAGTATTGAATGAGCGACACAGTCACACGTATATTCAGTTTTCGCGGTCGGTTTTCGCGGTCGGTTTTTGTAATCGGTTTTGTATCGAGACAGTTTCCTTATTAATTTTTAAATTTTATTCACATTATTATTAATTTCAAGTTTTCTCGGGATATTATTGAAATCGGTACACATGTAACGTAAAATACATTTTTTTGGTATTATATTTGACTTAAGATTTCGCGTTGAAAGAATTCAATTACAAAGAAACAACCGGTCTATATTTTAAATTAAATAACGTAGTTAAATAGCGGAATATTGAAAATATATTCGATTAATTTTACACAACCATTTTTTACAAAGAAATATTTTTCTAATTAATTTCTTTATCGTATTCGATACGCTCGACGCTCGCTCATTATTCGAATCGAACGTGTAACATTTGTCGATAATGATAAATCGACAATGGAAAGAGTTTTCCTCTTTCCTATTGGGGTCTGGTCAAAATGTGACCAGATCATATGGCCAGGAGCGACGAAAGGTAGGTCCAATCTGGCCCAACGAAAGGCGAATGCATTCAACGAAGTAAGTGGTCCGCATTGACCACGAAAATGAATTATGGAATATATGTATAAAATTGCTTTTTTAGTTGGGTGGGTTTTTCTTCTGCATATTTTCTCGCATGTATGCGAGACTCGAAAAATATAATTTAAATCCCAATCGCGCACGAGTAAAAACGCAAAATCATATCCCTAATAAAATCGGGTCGCGGTTTTAATTAAAAATTTGTAGATTTGTTAGGTTTCGACACGCGTAGGTAATAAAACGGATACATAGGATTGGATATAAATTGGAATGCGGGTAGGTAGGAATTGTTGTAAGCAGGGTCAGGGGGATATAATTTGATAGTTTTGTTACAGACAAAATAATTATATAAAATTGATATTAATAATTAAAATAAATAAATGGCAATAGGAGCAATGGGAAAGACTTAAGAGTATAAATTTGACTTGGGGAGGGAGAGAGCAAACGGAGATTCTAAGTGCAACAGATGCAAGCAACACGAACAAACCTAGGGTCTGTTCATTGTAGCTGACTTCTAACTGGCTGCACTAGTACAGAGTTTATCTTTCTCCTTCTAATGTGGAAGGAAAAAGATAAGCTTTGAACTAGTGCAGCTAGTCCAGATCTCCGGACTATGAACCTAGAGCCAGTTTCACAAATATCGGTTAACTGTTAACCGAGGGTTAATTGATTCCCTGTCTCTTCTTAAATGATAAGATGAAAAAAAGATAGCGACAATTATTCATAGCGACAACAAGCGTTTCCGCGTTCTGTGCACAGAAACCATAAGAAATATGAACGAATTGCTAAGGGTGTATTTCCACTGAGCTTCACGTGTCGCGTCTTACCGGCCACGCATAATCCAATGAGCGTACAGCTTTTACGGAATAGCTTTTATATGTGTATATGTATGTACGTATGTACATATATACATATATACACGTCTTTGATACATTATGAGTGTAATACAAATATACATATATAAAATGTTTTACACATGCATGAAATGATATGTTAACCAGGATTTTTTTATCATATTAAATTTAAATGTTTACCATCATATTTTTGAACTGATTTAACAGTGAATTAGTATTTTCATACATTTTTTAATCAGGTCAGAGACGTGCTCGTAATCATTTCTAAGATCTAGCTAGTATGAGTAATTATAATTCATATTTGTATCAAACATTCTGTATGGATAGATCCTCACAGTTACATTGCACAATTCTCATTTTTCCACATCAAGGTGTGAGAGTGGATTCCCACAATGAAGAGGGGGATTAAATCGAGCTGTCTGCGCTTTTTTGTCAAATATAAAGGCTCTGTAATTTCGCCGTTTTCCCTGCAATGATGAGATTCCAACTTGAAGTTTTCGTGGTTAATTATATCAAATTGTTAAAAAAGAGTTTCGTTGGCCTTCACGTGTGAGCTTTTTACTGCAGGGAACAGGGGAGGCGGGAAAAGAGGGATTTGAAAATAAAGGGATATAAGAGTTTAAATCTGGATTTCCGTGTTTTTTTTTAAATAGATTGTGTAATTAATTCTCACAATTTATTTCCGCGTTGTACTGAAAACATATAATTTTCTTTAATTTTATTTAATTTTTTCAATGTTACCTAGTACATTTAAAAGTAGTATACCATAAAGAGAGTGGGGGAGAGGCACTATGCGTAACTCTCATCAATATTTCACATTATTATTTAATATAAGCAACATTTAGTAATAACTTAATATGAAATCAATGAAAAATAAGTAATATAGACAAAACATTAACATGATACATCAGAATAATATGAATATAATAATGGCACATAGATATAGTTGTAAATATCTCTGTGTGAAAATATAATTTGATGTTGAACTTTTGGATTAACAAGATAATGTACGAGAAGTAGACAAGAAAGAGAATGGTAGATTTTGAGATTATGCTCGTTCAATATTGCTCGATTTGAACATGAAATACTAACGTTCTTAACATTTAATATAAATTCTGATCTTTCCCAATTACAAACCGTTCGACGAAGAAAATTTGTTTGGCACTTTTAATTATTTGATGTAACCTGAAAAGATTTGAAATCACAATGAATTGTATTTGTACAGTCATGTTTACCTTTTGAAAAATGTGAAATGTTGTCTTACGTACATATAATTGAATAATCGGCACGTGTGCACACGAAGAGTCGATAATGTTATAATTAAAAGAAAGTCGTTGCATCCGTCGCTTCTCATATACCTATGGCATAGTTAGTGATGTACAACTTTGCTGTTGCGACTCGTATCAGTGAGTGACATATTACTTTTTATTTTAAAGTGACGTTGCGCATATAATTACTTCTCTCTCTCTCTTGTCGCGTGTGTACAAATTCTTAAAAATACACAATGCTTGACCATAAACAGCGCCCGCGAAGCGTGCGTTCTGTCATGTCTAGTATTTCTAAATTGTAAACCTTCATTTACTCTGAACCTAAAAGAGAAGTGAAGCACATCGCGCTTCGAGAAAATCAATCGGCATCGCGGAGAAGGGCCTCGATATTAACGACATTCGCGCTGGTAACATCTCTTTTTTAGTAAGGGATTATTGTAAAGTGGGAGAAAAATAAGTAAATATCAGTAAACTTTCTTTATAAAAAAATCCATTGATATATTTACAACAATGATAATATAGGTCCTCCACGGAGATTGTACAGCAATCACAAATACATTCGGGCTATTAACAATCGCGTTTCGAGCATGTCCGTACTTTTCATGAACAATGATTATGCTCGTCGTCGCTCGATAACGAGGATTGGTTAACCGCGATCGTTATGGCATCGCTGGGTTGTAGCCAGGTCCTCGCGTTATGCTCGATTTTCGGCGAACATTTTGTTGGAATTTCTGCTACTGGCGTTTCTGAAATTCATATATAATGGATACATTTCAAAGCGTCGTCCATTCAATTATTTGCACTGCAAAGTGTAATCAGCAAAAAGTTTCATAGGGAATAGCCTCTGTTTATCCAATATTTTCTGCGAAATGATAATTTTTTTGATATAAAAAAGAGAACTTTACGAGACATAATTTCATCATGTTGGGTACACCGTTGTATTCCAAGTTATTCAGACGCACGTAAATCTTCAGTGACGAGAAAATAGATTTTGAATTTCCTGATAGACGTGCACACATTCGAGCTACGACAGCTTCATTTCGGAGGTGCGATGTATTTTCCGCGAAAATACTTCATGCATCCCTGTCTCAGGGATTTTTTTTAATTCGAGGCGAGACAAAATCGCTCTATACTCCAATTTTCCGTGACAAGCGAGTAGGGCTGTGACAAGTGAAAATTGATACGCGACTTTTTTTCAGCAGGTTGATTTATGAAAATGGCACGTGCTGCGAGCGTATGCGAGCGCGATGTTTCACCCGCGAAGACACGACCTTTCTCCTCCCCTCTCGCTTCTATACATTTGTAACTTAATTTTTGGATTTGGTTATATACTGCTCGTCGTGATTGTCCTCTTTCGGTTCCGAAATGTTAAATATTTCTCGCTCTTTCTTTGGCAATCACCATTTAAAGAATTTTTTGAACTTATCGGAGGATAACTCTCGGATGACAGTAGTCTTTCGAGCGTTGTATGGTATTTGTCTACTCAGCTGCACCGAGGATGACCCGAAGATGGGTCGAAACGTTTGGACATTTAATAAATTGATTAAAAAGTTCCACATTGGATAATTTCGCACGGACACTTGCGGTTGGCTCGCACTGGCCCTTTCTCCCTACCTTACTTTATTTTTAGTTCTTTCCGAAACAAACATAATGGGAAACGTGTGAATCGCTCACCTGGCCTTTCTATCGGCGATACCGACGTATCTGGAAACTGGACATGCTTCCTCGATATTCGACTCCCGGTAGGACTTTTCTCCGATAGCAGAGGATTGTGGCACGTTGTGGGACTCTGGGTCGGTGTTGCTTTTGTCTCGTTATTGGTTACTCTCCGTGAACTTGGACAGGACGTGGTGGCGGTCGTGGTCGCCGTTTGAGTTACATATCTCACTACTGGAACCTTCAAAGGGTACTAAATGAGACGTAAATGCATTGCGTGAAAGCGGGTCTTGTTTACATATATATATATAGCAATGAGTTTAGAGAGGCAACGATAGGGGTTGCTCGTTAAGAGGCTCAGAGACTATAATCGGTACACGATGGATTTTTATGAAAACTAGCAAGATTAAGCGACAACTCTGCTTATACGACAATAATTTGTATGAGTAGAGACTCCAATGCGACACATCCCTTCGACGAAGGAGGGACGCTACAAATATAACGCAATCTGACGATCGATTCCCTTGGGATATTGATTACGGGGATAATTGACGTAACAGTTGCTACGGGTGTCCCCTTCATTACTTTCCCAACTTTCCGGAAGCATTCAATCATGTTTCCTTTTAGACCTCGGACCTTTTATTTCGTTTTTTTCCCCTCTCTTTTATATTTACCGGACTATCCGTCGTTGCGGCGACGAACGAACGTCCGCACGATTAATAAAAAACGATTCTGAAATCGTGTCGCATTTACGAGGCTTGCGAACAATACCTCGGCGTATGAATAGCTACGTCCTGGAGACAAAATGTTTGCAAATAGAGCAATACGACTGAATAGTTTCACTTAACTTTTCTCTTATCCCATTGTTCCTCCCTCCGCATAACTTTCGGAATACTGACCCTGTATTCGTAGTCGTGCGCAGCGGTGCCGCGACCAGCTGAATATTCTTGGTACTGCGAGATGACACATAATACCGAGTACATCTGTAATAATATCTGTATTCAGTCGCGCGCGAAAGAGCACGAGATTTTGCGCAGCGCGTAAATGCGTGGATTTTGCCAACGGCAATATTTAGCTGGTTTACAGCTGGTTCTATAATCCTTTGCTCTTCATTTATTATTTTACAGAAAATTTACACTCTCCACCACTAACGTGTACAATTATTATCCGCGAGAATCGAGAATCACGTACAATATTCTACAATAAATCTTAAATATTTCTAAACAATAATCGAGCTTTTTAGTCGACATTAACCGGCCAGTGTTTCAGTACAAAATTTATTGTGAAAAATATTACCTCGGCCAGGGTTTGAACCTGAACTTCTCTTCACTCTAGGCGGGCGTCTCCAATTCGACCATTGAGGCTACTATTGCCTCAGTTTCGCTATAAATTTATTAAAACACTGGCCGGTTAATGTCGACTAAAAAGCTTAATTATTGTTATCTATTACTGGCAACTTAAAGAGATTTCTATATTTCTAAACGAGTTAACGTATTAATTTTCGACGATTGCAGCCACGATGTAATCAAGATTAGCGGAATGTATACTCACGTTTAAACAAAGTAAAAAGAAATTGAGCGTGTAGAGCATAAGTTTCGGCGGATGATAAGAGTCAGGCTGTAACAGACCAATTTTACAGAAGTTACACGCACGAATTTTACTTCACGTACACAAACGCATTTAAATAATTTTATAAAGATCATATAAGTATACTTGTCCTCGGTTAAGTGCATTTTTACGATTTATTTTAAAAGACTATCAAGTTTAAGCTTAATATTTCTCTTGTAAAGAACAGCGGTAAAATAGTTACGAGCCTTTCAAGCAGCCAGTATTCATAAATTTCAAACGCTGACAAAACGAGAGGGGAACAAAAGGAAGAAACGGGGATACGTGAGAGAAACGTATTTTACACAAAAGATTTTACTAATAACGTTAGGTTACGCCGGAATCCAAAGTTTATTGCAATTATAATCCTCGTAGAACGTGGCGTTGGATTAATTATAAATTCAATATGAGATACAGCCTGAAGGCACCCGTGGGGGGAAATGTACCTTAGGAAACCTTACAATTTTACTTTAGAAAAAGAAAAAATAAGCAAATTAAATTCGGACACTTTGAACTTTTATTTGAGGTAAACTTCAAACTCGCTTTAATAATTTAAAGGAAAACTTGAAGAATTGTGAAAAGTATGTGATATAACTTATAATACATAAATAATAAAAAAAGTGCTATGCCGCGCGGCCCTCTAGCAGGGACTTCGACAGGCTTGGCTATTCTAAAAATTATTTCAAGTATCCAAAATTATTCTGAAATTTCTTAAGTAAACTTTGAACTTCTTTAAGTAAACTCGTAGATTTGAAAGACTACTTTTAAAAACTTTAATTTCATTTAAAGGAAATTTTTCCAAGGGCACATACAAAGCAGATGTCGATTTTCAGAAAATCATGCGCTCGATGATGACGTAACTGAAAAAAGTTACTTCTTGATTTCAAAGTTACGTTTCTTTTTTTACACACACACATACAAGCTTTTAAATTGATCCTTACTTTCGGAGACCTTTCGTCCGATCCGTTTTCATGCGAAAGATTAACTTTGCTAAATAATAAATCGTAAGATTTAATAAAGCATTGATATGAATAATTTGGTCCGGCGATAATCGGATCATTCGATCGAGTATCAAGTATTTAAGGCAGTTCGTACGGAAGTGCTTTCTATTATGTTCCTCGCGTCATGTAATCAATTATTATTACGCAAAAATGTATTGGATATAATTTAAAAACTTACTGTGACGATGACCATATACAAGGAATGCGTCACGTCGATGACGCTGCTCGTGATGACTGTGATTATCCACGGAATCAGCAACATCTTATAATCCTGAAAAGTCATTTATGTTATATAAAATATGATAAGTAGCTCGCACAAGAGTTTATGCACATACTAGAGCAGTAAATTTTATATTAATCGCTTAATATAAAACTTTATATGGAAACGTGGTATAATAGTAGCCGCGTAAAAAAATTGTTTCACGAACGTTTATTCTGTATTATGTTACCGTGCCGCGCCGAGAATTTTGTGAATTTTAATTACTGTGCATTTTCTTAATGATTCTTTAATGAAAGAATAAAACGAAGCGCGGTATGTGCTAATGGAGATTCTGTAATATAAAACGCAGTGCGGAGTAACGCGCCAAGTATATTTATTTCCGTCAAATTAAACATCCTTTGTAACACTCGCTTTCGCCGGTTATCAGTGTCTCTCGTTATTAATATTCATGAATGCATACTTACACGTTGCGTCCCTTTCGCGTGCACACTGTAGCTTGTTTTGTTAATGATATTCGTCATGGTATCAAGCAAGTACTCAGAATAATTAAGATTCTTAACGTGTTCTCGCTACGTTCGTTTTTTTACTGGTTCGCCCACGTGAGTTTAACGCTTATAATAATGTCGCGCACGCAAAGCGGATTACGTAGCGCGTTATTGACGCGTTATGCGTATGCGTTACTGCATAAAAACCACGCTGGTCAATGGGAGAGCAATGTGTCGGTATACTGAAACTTGGGAGGGATCAAAATAAAGGATCGATATGCGTCTTCCGTTATATATTCTTATCGTAATCTTGGCAAATACTTAATAAAGGAAAGTCCCCTGTTATGAGATAGGTTTCTAATATGAGATAGCAGGTTTTCAACACCTAAGTTCAATCGCAAACCTTTTTTTCGCAACGATATTACACGATTTAACAATTAATTTTCCACTAAACCGATTTCGCTCCAAGGATAAATTCATGGTGGAATCAACGATGGTGCAGCCTATTAATTTAACAGAAACCCTGCTATCCCATATTAGGATCCTATCTCATAATAGGGGACTTTCCTCTGATTATAAATAGACTTTTAAATATAGATATGTATGCCATTTAGGGATCCGGTGTCCGAAAACTACAACGAAACTAGAAGTTTATTAGAGAGATTGTGTCTTTTATTAATTACCCGATTACGCTGTTCGAGAACGTACGTCAAAGCTACGACGAGAAACCAGTTCAATCGACAAAAATTGGGCTTTCTGTTACGAGTCTAACGTAGTAGTAAGCTTATTAAACATAGAGTGTACGGTGAATTGTTTACTCAAATATCCGTTCCACGTCTAATAGCACGTATCTCTCGGGAATAACGCGTGTGCGTCATACCTCGTAGCTTTCATACGATCCATTCGGGAGCAGCGATAATACCGTTTTATCACGTGCCAAGAGGGAGCAAAAGTATCCGCTACTGCATTCTCATACGGTTGAGTTTAGTTGCAAATGTAATAGATATGAAAATGCCTGCACAAGAATCTACATTTTGAGAGAGAGAGAGAGAGAGGGAGAGAGAGAGAAAGGTACAGTGATGAGCAAAATGGTTGCAACACGTTTTTTAAAATGAGTTTGGAAACACGCATTTAGCTCGAGGGTTACGTTTCAAAATCTTCTTCTCCGAGAAATATTTTACTCGATGGCCATTCCAAAACCATTTTAAGCGTTTCCGACTTATTTCTCGAGTAAAAGTTTCGTCAGAGAAATTTTTTGGAATCTGATTCTAAACGCACATCCCTAAACTCATTGAAAACAGTGTTGCAACAATTCTGTCCATCACTGTACAATGATTTTTTAATGAGTTTAGAAACATGTATTTAGATCGAGGGTTACGTCTCCGAGAAATATTTTACTCGATGGCTGTTCCGAAACCATTTTGAGTGTTTCCGATTTATTCTCGAGTTCCTAAACTCTTAAAAAAAAACAGTGTTGCAACTATTCTGTCCATCACTGTACACGAAGGATTTTCGTTTTGCGCAAAACAATAGGATGCAAATTCGACGGTTTCGTTAAACGTGATAAAGAAATATAACGGAAAATGCTTAACGTAAATTACATTACGTGTAAGATAATACGGACGAAAATTGTACCACTGCAATCTCCTACCTAATTTGATAACGAAGTCTAACGCAACGATCTAATGTAACGGACAGAAATGGGAACGAATGGAATTCTATCGCATTTCCCGTACCTCCTCCAATAAGTTACAAATTAGAAATGGCATCGTGCGACGCGTTAATCGTCGCCTCGGCAATTTCGCCCTACCTTGTATAAGCCGTACAAAAGAAGGAGGCTGCACAGCACGCCGCAGCAGGAGCAGATAAGCAGCATTCCGTTGAATTGTACCGTCGCTGAAGCAATGTAAGCAATACAATATCGTTTAAAGCGAAGCCGAACTACTTAAAATGTAGACAATTCCATGCGTGGGGATCGACAACTTGCTTTAAGATCGAGACTCGAGGGAGACTTTGTGCGGGACAAAATTGGATTGTATACGTTAACTACATATCTACTTGCCGTCTACCGTCTACTTACTCGGCGATATGGTCTCCGATTCCAGAAAGCTGGTCGATTTCGGCAGGGACACGATTCCCCTTAGGTATTCACTCTCCTCCCAAAATATCGAGCCGGCGGTCGACGCTATCATTGCGAAGTATATCTAGAGTGTGGAGAAACGACAAGGGGGCGAGGTCATTAATTTATATTTATTT